ATAATACATATATAAATTATATATGTATATATATGTGTGTGTGTGCTTCGGAACAGAGGGGGGATTTTGCTCTGATTTCAGCCCTGCGGCTGAGCACAAAACACCCCATAAGAGCAGAACTCCTGCCCTTCAGCATTGTACCTGCTGTGTAAAAACACCCTTCTCTTGCTGGGCTCACACCTTCACTGCCATTTCCTTTGCTGAAGCTGGAAAACTGGGCAGGCAGCTGGGAAATACCATGGCTGTGAGGGGTTACAGGAAGGAGGGATCCTCGTGTCCAAGGGAGAGACCGAGGAGGGAAATCCTGCCTCTTCAGCACCTGGTATTAGGTTTTCAGATCCCAAGCTGGTCAGAAACAGGCCAGTTTCTCTCCATCCACTCCGAAGCTGCCCCTGTGCAGTTCAATAAATGGCAATAAACTGGCCATGGATGCATTTCAGCAGGAAACTAAGTTAGTTTCTAAGCTTCAGAGCAATTAAACTCCTTAAAAAGCTTGAAAGGACAAAGAACCAGTAAGAAAAACCATAATAAGCAGCACTGTTTTGTTACGGTCCTTGATCAGTTTAGGAAGAGCTGCAAAGTAATTGCAACTACCAGTCCTTTGCCATCCTATGCCAACAGTGAGGTTAACCCTTGCTGCACACTGAGTAGAGACAGGGTTGGTTTAGCCTGGGTAAAGCAGCACATTCCTGCAGGCATGGTTTATCACCGATGTCCTTGGACTTCAGAGCAGATTCCTGGTTGTCTCCTGCTTACACTCAACAGGTCTGAAGTCTTTTCTCACTAAGGACTCATTTCAGAGCTGCTGGGGCTTTAAATAACCAACAGGGCACAAGGCTGGAGATGTCATTGATAGAGAAGGGCAGTGCAGTAAATGCGCAAATCAAAGCTTCCACGCTCCGAGTGGAAAGCAGAGATGTGATCTTTCCTTAGGATGCTCTCCGAAGCAAAGGGAAGCGACAGCAGGAATTTTCCACTGGAGGAAACCACGCTCAAAGGAACGGGCTAATTTGCTGAAGCCAAATTAAACCTTCCCTGACTCAAACACCCAAATTGACAGCCTGACAAAACAGTTACTGTAGCAACCAGAGGGGGAAGAAAGCCACACAAAACACGGGTTATTTTCCCCTCAATGAACCGAGGAAAATCAACTTCTAATTGCACTGAGCATCACCACGGGTGTCAGTGGCAAGGCAGCCGCAGCGGCTCAGCCGGCGTGGGTTGCATCAAGGGTTGACACTGTGATGCTGTGAAGGCAAGGCAAAGCTCATGATCTGTTATTGCAAACCCTTCCTCATCATCAGCCTGGAAAATGCTGTCACCCTGACTGATCTGTTTGCCTCCTTTCTAGGAGGAGGAGAAAGCCCTTAGGAAAGCCACAGTGCAAATGCCCCAGGAAAGGAAAACAGGTTCCAAAGAATCAAATTCTAATAACTGGATTTGGCTCATGAGGCCAAAGAGCTCCAAGTATGTTACCCAAAGTGGTATCTAACAGCCCTATTGAGCAGTTTGAGCTGTGGAGTTCCTTGCAGTCAAGTAGGCAGCAGCCAAAAGCAGAGGTACCCCAAAAGCAAGGCTCCTCAGCTGCCCTGGGCCACCACTACCCCATGGGCTACTCTCAGACCTCTCCAGCAGCTACATGTGGTAGAAAGGATCCCCAAAACCCCATTTTCACAACTGGGACACACACAGAGTCCCAGTTGGTTAAATAATTCCCTGCTATATAATTGGCTCCTATTTATACTCTAGTTACTCCAATTCTTTCAAACAATTGCATTTATGCTGGAGAAGTACCCTCACTCTGGGGCTGTTTCACAGCAGAGGATGCTCTTGCTGTCAGGACTTTGTGGGCCACAAGCTCTGCCAATCACACCATCACCTCAAGGGCTTTGACTCCTACATCTTTTTGCACCATCTGCATCCTCTGCCCTGAGCATCATCCCTCATCTTGAAGCTCCAAACCCAGTGAGACAGGCTTAGATAAAGGCACATTTGTTGCTGGTAAATAAAAACCTCTAAAAGAACCACAACGCATAAGAACAACCTCTGCACACACCTCACATCTCCAAAGAGACCTCAGACAAACCCAGCAGTGCCCTGTCTTATAATAACAGCAGCGTTCACCCACTCCAAGAGGTAATTGCTGGCTCCACAGATGCCTCCATCATACAAATCATGGATATGTTTACCTTGCCAATAGAAAACCCAGCTTGCTCCAAGGAGCCAGAACTTGCCTGCCAGTCCCTTTCCATGCCGCAGGGCTCATCCATGCCCCACCACGCCACGGGCAGCCTCGCCTGCCTTGCTCCACGCTCCTTTTCTGCCTCTTCCTTAACAAAGCAGCTTTTAATTCTGATGCAGTGCTCCCAGTTCTCAGAAACAGCATGGAAAGGACATTACAGTCCCCTTGGGTTTATATAAACATGTCCTGTTTATTACCCTTTGCAGTGAATGTCTGAGCTGAAACACTGTTATTTGGTGAAAAACAGTAGAAATTGGAGCCATCCTTCCATGCACTGCACGAGGCTGGGACCATGGCTTGGGAGCTGGTTGAAGAAGGTCAATAAGGTCCTTATTAAGGGAAGAATTTTCTAAATGGCTTAAGAATACACTCTTATACTATTCAGTGATTTGTTTTGCTCTTCCCAGTCTCCCTACTTGCCTCTAGCCATGCCCCTGCATGACTGAGCACGTAGAGTGGCAAAGCCCCATCAAGCGTAGCTCCAGCATCCATAGGGTACCGGTCCCAGCACCATCCCAGACAGAGATTCCCAAACCAGCCCACGCAGAAAGGAGTGTTTTGCTTCTCCCTTGTTTACATCCCTTCACTGAGTCATCGAGTAAACACATTTTGGGGTATTTATTTCCCTCAAAACTATCATTTCCAGCCTGTGATTCCAGCTAATTTACAACCCAGCCCTGCCAAGCACCAAGGAATTATGGAGAAAGATTCTGGGCAGGTTTGACACCGCTCACGTTTGGAGGAATAAATGGGAGCAGACTGTTAAATAGGATTATTCTCGCCTTTCTTTCCTTAGGGTGCCTATCACGAGTGCCACGTGCATTAATTAATCGAAACAACACATTTACATGATTAGGGATTAACTCCTGTGCTTCTCCTTTGGCTAATTAGTGTACCTATAGATCTAGTTAGGAAGAAAACACCTTGGGGAAAAGCGGGAGCCTTCAGAGCTTATTTCATATAAACTGGCTGTCACATTCAAGGATTAGAAAAACGCTCACTTCTCCCTTCTCTCCCATGACACCTGAGATTTGCTTGTTTTATTTCTCCTGACTCCCATGCAGCATCCACACTTAGTTGTATCAGGAAAACACTACGGGGTTTTTCTTCCCTCGCTTTGCTCCCCTGTTTCTTGTTGACTGTCATCCTCAGGCTGCTCACAGGCTCCCACTGTCAATACACCCGGGTGGAAAAGAATGCTTTGCAACAAGGGTTTCAATCTGGTGGATTCATTACCTTTCCCTGTGCAGGGTGTTCCTCCAGGTCTCAGTGCTCAGCTCACAGGGAGCAGGGATCTATATATTCAACGTGACAAGCACTGTAAGCCCAGCTCCAGGAGTCCTTTCCCTGGGCACACATTTTGGATACAACCACCCTGTGCATCCTCTGAACCCATCTGCTGGTTTCCATAGCAAATAGATGGGATCACTGGGTTCCTTCCAGGCTCCATAGCAACATTTATACCTGGGCTCCTCCACTCACTGTCATCCCTCCTTGCTCACACCTCCCCTAGTCCCAAAACTGTTTGCATCCCTGGTTTTCAGCCTGTGATTCCATGAAGCCAAAGGCATCCTGGCAGTACGTGGTTGAAGGGATGCTCCATTCCTTCCCTGAGCTACCTGCCTTTCAGTGATGGGTCAAGTTGTCCTCGTAATCTCCATCACCTACTTTAAGCTTACAAGAGGCTCTGACCTATTCACTGAGCCGCGTGGAAAGGCTGGTGAAGTAGGGGCTGTTAGAAAACACACAAAGCACTGAAGATTTATTGAGAGAAATAAAGGTATTTAAGAGAATTGAGGCTTTTTTTGCTGCTGGAACTAATGCATGTACCCATCAACTCAGATTTTAAGCAGGAAAAAATTTAACACTGAATTAACTGCGATTACTTTTCCATGGACTTTTAGAAGGAAAACTTTTCCAACTTGCTCTTAAGGGAATTCGTGCCATAGAGTTATGCCTTGACCCAAAATTCAAAGAGGCACCATTGCTTTGCACCTCTCTTGTTTGATGAGAAATCAAGCTCCTCTCAGATGGACACCTCTCTTTCTTCAGGGATCTCTGCACCTGGGCAATCCCTTGGGAAGGTGTCAAACACTGGCCAGCATCAACAGAACCAGAGCCAAGGCCTCTTAAAAACAAGTGCTAGTGACAAGTGTTATGCAAACGGGCTACATAGACCCAAATTCCTACTCCTTCCAAGAGCACCTGGATTAACCAATCACACAATTAACTCCAGAGGAACCCTAAGGAAAAGCAGGGATTCACTTTCCTACCACCAGGATGCCTTGTCCTGATTTAATTTCCTTTTTTCCCTTTGCAGGAGACAAAACAAGAGGGCAGAGGTAAATATTCCCAGCTCCAGATGCAACACAGGGCTTTGTCTCTAACTACAGCCCATAAAGTGCCTCTTCCCCAGCATAAAAGGGCACAGAATGTTGACTTTCAACACCAAGTAACCCTTTCAAGCATTACCTGATTGCACAATAACTCCCTGCCACTGCTCAGAGGAAAAGAGGCTTTGCTTTCCCTATTATCCCATCGAAGCTTTTAGAGACCTTCCTGGCGGTTTAAAGGCAGCACTTCAAGGTAGAAAAAGCAACAATAAAAACTACTTGTCCCTTCGGATGCTGACTTGTATTTGTTTAAATGAGACCCGGCTGAATTCCCTATGAACTAATCAGGTTCACCATCACCTCAACCCACAAGCAGCTCCACTCCCTCCCAGGCTGGGGAAGAGGAGAATTGATTCATTAATTACCTGTAATTAAGGTTTATTTCTTTCCCCAGCTCTCTCAGTGCAGGTTTCTATGCCCATGGCAAGCTGAGGAAGAGGAGGCTCAGTCCCATCCTCCTGCTGAGCTTCCTTGTAGCAGAACACAGCAAACTTCAATGAATCTACCCCTTTACAAGGCTTTGATTTCAAAGTGGAGGGAGATTCTTGTTGGGGTTTCTCTGCAGCATCAGTAGATGATGTGTTAATATTCCCCCATGCAGATCTGCCTTCTTCATATCCTTGTTAGCACACTCACATAAGCACCAGTGCGTGTACATACTTTACTTACACTGGGACTATTGCCCTAACTCCTGTGTATTAGCATCTGAACATACACAGACATTATACCTGAGCTGTGAGCACCTTTGCTGTGCAGATGCAGAGGGGACCATGGCTGGTTTTTGGTAGCTGCTCCCAGGATCCCATCCAGGGGTGCTTGGGGAGTGCATCCCCCATGCATTGAACAGACAGGAGGCAATATACACCTATATAAAATAGAGAAGCTTTAGCTAAGGTGAGATGGGAACAACTCCTGTTGGAAAACCTCCTCCAGGGGCTTTCAGGAGAAACCTTGTGATGCTGATGAACCAACATTGCTGCCACTTATGTGGCCAATTCCCCTTCCAGGGCCAAGCAAATGTCACTGCACACACCAGCATCAACCAGCCTGTTGCAGACCTAAACCTCTTGGTTGTGAAACAGATTCAAAAGGCTCCTCCTGAGGACCTTGTTCCCACCCCAACAAGCAGCAGGCAGGGAAAGCAATAAAGCCGAGTCCTGTTATTTCTCCATTTGCAAGCAGCCATCAAGGGAAAATGTCTCAGAGTCTGAGCATCTCAGCCTGTGAACGCGCTTCACAACGGAGGCTCATCAGCAAACAGGGTATTTTAGTGATTCACACGGTTTCCCTTATTGAAGGCTCATGAACTCATTTTGGAAACCCAGGAAAAGTGCAAGGCTAAAGTGCTTTATTCTAACTGCAAAGAGATCCAGCAAACTATTGCAAATCAAAACCCCAACCCAGCTTTCTCATTCACTCCTGTGCAATGACCCTTGTTTGCCACCTTTAGATGCCTACATATACAAGGTTTGCAAGCTAATGCAGAGACCAAACTAAAGCTCCCATGAAGCAAACTGCCTTCAAAGGCATCATTTCTGTATAGTCTTGAGCTCTTTAAGTGTCTTACATGGGATTCCTGTAGAACAAAATATGATGGCTGTGGATTTTTAGGCTCCAATTCCACTTCTATTTAACACTACTCATTCCCAAATGTATTGTTCTATTTCATTCACACTAACTCCCACCAAGACAACTGAAATTCAAACAAGCTAAGTGGTTATTTATCTCTTCTTGAACTTGCTTTGAATTTAAATCTCTGCTAAATAAGCTCTGATGGTTGAAATCATTTAAAAACAACACTTTGGCTCAAAGGGAAAAAAATCATGCAGCTGAACATCATTGTTATCCCTTCTTCTTGATTTTGACAGGTTTTTAAGCAAGTAACACACGAGCTTACAATGGGGAGGTTCAAGAAGCCCAGGAAAAGAAAAGGAGAAGGAAGAACCCTGCTACAGAAGCGGTTTACTTGACACTCCATTAGCAGTTGATCCTTCACCACACTTTAATTAGTGGAGCTGTTGGCTGTGGACACACACACTGCTTAAAGTCTTTCCCTGCAAGTCCAAAGCTGCTCATCTATTTACACTGACACCACTGATGAAGCTGGAGGAGAAACAGATGTGTTGGTCCTTGGGATGCACAGAGCAGGCTCCTGCAGTGGCTAATAGGCAATCAATATTTGCCTGTCAAAAATCTGTGGTGTGACTCATAGGGCCAAACTTAGGAGGACAGAGGCAGATAAAGCAATGTTGACAAGCGTGAATCATGGCAAGAAATAGGCCACTTGGAATGGGGTTTGATGATCCTTAAGATCTTCCAACCCAACCCTGCATGATAGGAAAGGGAGAAGCTCTCCTGAAGATGCATTGATCAAGAAGGTCCAGACTCCTCTCAAAGGCTGATGAGTGCAGTGATGCTCTTCAGTGTGCACAGGGAAGAGGAAGCCTGTTTCCACCTGTGATGACCCCCTAGGATTCTGAATTTAGCAGAGAAAGGTATTAAAGAAGCAGAAGCTGGAACCTGCCACCAGAAAATCCACTGTGCCAACACCAGCTCATAGGAGGGAGGGAGGCAAAGCAGCACACAGCAGCTAAAGGAGAAATCCTCCATCGTTTGGGAGCTGCATTCAAACCAAGTGCATGGAGAATCACTTGCTTTTGTCAGGGGTCTCAGATTTATTTTATTGAAAGCTATTTAAAGATTAAAAGAGACCCCATAACCCACAAGAAGCTCTGGAGTCTCACAAAATTAGCCCACATCTTCCTTAACCTGATCCAAAAGCATCAGAGCTCGTGTTTGAAAGACTTTGAAATACTTGATGACATTTGCAGCAGTCTCAGCTTCAGCTTTGAAGCTCTCCCCAAAGACTGGGTTTTTCCTGTCTCTGCATGGATTTATAATCACCTGCCAGCAACTGTGCCCAGCCTGAGCTATTGGGGGAGTTTCATGCTTTGAAGTGACGATGCATCAAAGCCGGAGCGCAATCGATGCCACCCTCGCATCACCTCCAGTCAAACACTGACATGTGAGGAGGTACCATCGCCAGCTCGTGCTAATAACACCTATTCCCTGCATACAGATAAAGTTGTATCTGCTTCTATCCTTCCTAGGACTGTGGTGGGATTAAAGAGGAAGAAACAAAGACATCTGCCCCTCTTGCTGGGTGTGATGTCTCCAAGGGCTCTCCTGCTTGAATGTGTCTGATACAGACCATAGATATTCTCTTGCATAAAACAAAGCTGGTATCACTGACAAATAAGTTTCCTGAACCACAAGGAAGAGACTGATTTATCTCACCCCTAACTTCACGTGGACTAGGTTTTAAGTAGAACTTTTTCACCCCAAGGGGAAATTGAGGCAGGCATCTAGCACACAACCACCCCAATGTGCCTCAGAAAGAGCCCCAGACTCACAAACTCCACTTTATCTGTCTCCATTCTCATAACCTCATGTAAAAAAAGACCAAATGGCAGGTTTGGTAGCTGTTACACAAGCCTCAAGTATTCATTTCCCTCTCAGGCCACACCACTACCCAGACAGATACTGGGACACACTTGTCTCCATTGCCTTAGGGACCGTACAGGGCTTCAGAGGTGAGGAAAGTACACAGCCAGAGTTCTAGCACCAGTTGTTTTAGGTTTCCATTTAAATAGAAGTTATAGATACTGTAATAATTACTGGCACTGATTGAGAGCAGCTACAAAAGCCTCCTGCAGAAGCTGTTCATCTCTAGTCATTACAAGGTATACACATGAGGGAACAGAAACACAGAGATCCAGGTAAGCTTCTCTGCGCCCTGCCCAGATGGATGAGATCTTAAAAACAAGAAAACAACCAACCCTCTCCTCCAAAACCCACCTAAACCAAACATCTTCAGTTTCCTTTTGCTGAACAAAAGCTGAGTGCATCAGACTGTCACTGATTTTCCTTCCTGGCAATTATTGATCTTGTGGCAGCGTGACTTGAAATGGTGACAATTATGCCTATAAAATATTGTTCTCTTGGAGAGATCTACAATCCTAATGTTCTGCATCAGTATTTGATGATCTGCAGTGGGAGGAAAGGAGAAGGAGGGGACTGAAAGGTACCCAGACCTTGGGGTCAGCACTAAGAGGAGGGGGAACCATCCAGCCCTTCAGAGGAGAAGGTCATAGAGAATCATAGAATCATAGAATAGTTCAGGTTGGAAAGGACCTTAAGATCATCCAGTTCCAACCCCCCGCCATGGGCAGGGACACCTCACACTAAACCATCTCACCCAAGGCCTCGTCCAACCTGGCCTTGAACACTGCCAGGGATGGAGCATTCACAACCTCCCTGGGCAACCCATTCCAGTGCCTCACCACCCTCACAGGAAAGAATTCCCTCCTTATATCCAATCTAAACTTCCCCTGTTTCAGTTTTAACCCATTACCCCTTGTCCTATCACTACAGTCCCTAATGAAGAGTCCATCCCCAGCATCCCTGTAGGCCCCCTTCAGATACTGGAGGCAGGAGCCTAGGGACCAGCCCCTTAAGACTGAAGCAGCTACTTAAGCTTTTCAGCACAGTCAGGTTATTCCCAAGTTACCACTCCCTTGGGAACCTCCATCTCCCATTCTCCCCCTGCCTCATCCTCTTGTCAGACCCCAGCAAACCCTCAGATGGGGCTGCACAGCCATATACTGGTAGAGAAAGACCTGTGGCTTGCTCACACTTCTCTTCCCATAGGACAAACTGAGCTTGGGCTTTGCCTCTCTTACCCCAAGCTCACCTCACCCCACAGCATCCACAGAATCACTCAACCCAGTATCTTCATAACCCCAAGGACCCAACACACAGAGCATCTCCCACAGCACATAACCAACCACCCAGGCTGTCAGGATAAAGGAAGAGAATAAAAGCCAAGCACTTGCATTTCTGCAGCACAGGTTTCACAGCTGTTTGCATCTGGCACACGGATGCATCATGTACACACAGCAGCCAAGCAATAGGAGCAAAGCACATTGTGGCCAGGCTTGCCCATGGAAATAGTGATCTTCCCCAGAGAAGCAGCTCTGATTAGGCAGCAAATCATGAAGAGCAAAATGGGAGGCTGCAGCTAAATAGCCTGGCCTTCGTTACCAGCAATGGGAAGCAGATGGCTCTGAGCAGCAGCAGGGCTTTGATTTGATGGATTTCAAGAAATTAAAGCTTTCAGAAACAAGAAGTAAAGTCCTTCACTTTTTTGGTCAGTTCCTGGTATCCTTGGGCTTCTCAGCCACAGCATCATGTCCATGGGGAAAGCTTTGTGTTTTATAGGAGCTTAATATGATTTAGTGGGCACACAGGTGGACCAGTGTTTGCTTTTGCAGCCATAATACACAATGACTTACGAAGAAGCCTGAGAGAAGAATAATGTTCCTGTCCTTCATGATGAAGGACTTATTGCTGTTTTCACATTATTTGTACAAAAACCAGTTTGAAGTGGTGCTGGGCTTGAACAGTTGA